ATTGACATTCTCTTGTCACTCTAACCCCATTTGTCTTAGTCCTACCAGTAAGGAAATTCAATGCTCACTGCCAGTCTTTCTGCCATGGTTTTTCCAGCCACCTCTTGGTTGGCAGAAATGTTTTCTTCAAAGCAGAGGAATTTCTATTCTGTTACTCTTAATTGACAGTCACCTAGGTGTAAAATTCTTGAGTTACCTTTTCTTTCCTTGGGAATTTTTGTAAATACTCCTCCTTTTTCTGCCAACATTGAATTTTACTGTGGAAATTTTCAAGCTTGTGTCCCTCTTTTAAATGACTTGATCATTTCACCTGCTTGTGGAAATTGAGAAACCTTACCTTCAAGGTCTTGGCACTGACTGTTCTGGGTCAGTTTTTCCCTGGGATACAATGTGCGTTTTCGGGAACATCTTGAATTACATTTTTACATCATCTTTATGAGCTGAGTCTTTACATACCTCTTCTGTTCCATGTTACAGTTTTATTTTACATATGTTTTATTTCCTTTGCTGTCTTCTGTAACTCATTTTCTCCCTATTGCTGTTAACTCTTCTTTGCGTCTGTTTCATTTTATTTGCTTTTTAAAAATTTCTCTCCTTTTTGTTCCTTCCTGTGTTTTTAGCAGTCTCTTCTCCCTTTTCTTCCTTCCAGATTCTTCTTCATTTCTCTGTGGGTTTTTTTCCTTTCATTTATGTCTTCTCTTCTTGTCTCCCTGTTTCTCCCATATAAGCTCTTACACTTTGGCTTTGAGCTCTTGCTTCATAGTTTCCTTTTTTCAATTCTGTAAAATATTTTGTTGCATTTTATCTGCTCTATGACAGCATTTTTCTGGTGTGTAGTCTTAGTCTGCCCTTTGGTTTTCCTGTTTCTTTCCTAATTTTTTTCTGGTTGTATCTTTATATAGATCCCATGCAGATTTCATTTTTATAACTCATCTTTAAATAGGTGGGTTTTTCAGGGACCAGCTATTTGCAGGATGCTGTTTAGGGGAAGTACCAAGTCTATGTTCCAGGCTGACTGTGGTTGTTCTCATGATTTCATGTTCCAGGTGAGTTTCTTTATGTTTATTTCTACCCAGCCATGAGATTTTTCTACCATGCAAAGGCTGCCCTCTCTGCTCCACAGAGACCAGCTCTGTGAGGCAAAATAGAGCTCATTTGGATGATTTCTCATTTAGCCCCAACTTCAGTCCAAGGAAGTGCCTATCTTCCAAAAATCAGGAAACTATTGGGTCACAGAAGGTGTGTCCTTCACCTCCAAGAAGCTTGTTTTTCCAGGTCTTCTTGAGCTCTCCAGCTCCCATGTCCTCTCTATAGCATCCTTTCTTTTCAAAAGGAAAGGAGCCCTTGCTTGGGCTCCCTGTTTTTGACAGCTTTTATACCCATTTGGGGGCCTGTTAGTCAGTCATTCAGTCATGTCCAACTCTTTGCAATCCCATGGACTACAGCACTCCAGGCTTCCCTGTCCTTTACTATCTCCCAGAGTTGGCTCAGACTAATGTCCATTGAGCTGGTGATGCCATCCAACCATCTCATCCTCTGTCATACCCTTCTCCTCCTGCCTTCAATCTTTCCCAGCATCAGGGTCTTTTCCAATGAGTCAGCTCTTCACATCAGGTGGTCAGAGTATTGGAGCTTTAACATCAGTCCTTCCAGTGAACATTCAGGGTTGATTTCCTTTAGGATTGACTGGTTGGATCTCCTTGCTGTCCAAGGGACTCTCTAGAGTCTTTCCCAGCACCACAATTCAAAAGCATCAATTCTTCAGTGCTCAGCCTTCTTTATGGTCCAACTCTCACATCCATACATGACTACTGGAAAAACCATAACTTTGACTAAACAGAGCTTCGTAGGCAAAGTGTATCTCTGCCTTTTAATTGGGAGCCTGAGATTATGGTTATCTTCAGTTTGTTGAAAATGGAGTTTGCATTTTTGTTTATTTCTCCTTCTTGCACTTGAATACCTTTTTGAATAACATTTAAAAATTATGACTTCACAATGCAGTGTTCAAATCAGACTAATGTTTTCTATCAACCAACCGCTGGTCCCCTGTATCCTCTGTTAGGCCTTTTACTACACCTTCCCCATAAAGCCTCTCCACCACACTGTCATCCGTCTTCTAAGCACTAAAGCCCAAGGAGGATTCCCTTCAGATTTATGAAAAGCCTGTTATTCATTCAGCACGCCTACTCCACACTGGGCATTGTTCTAGGCCTTGGTAAGAAAACATGGAAGAATTCCTGCTTTATCTTAGACACACCAAAGGCAAGTCATGAAACAATTCCATGTAGAGTGTTCCTCTCTGTTTAGATGAAGAGGGTAAAAGACTCAGTTTGGGATTTTGAAGAAGTATGGTGGAAACATGAGCTCTGGAGTCAGACCTAGATTCAGTGTTCGGTTCAGCTGCTAAATATGTGAGGTTGGGACAGTTTACTGACTTTTGCATGTATTAGTTTCCACATACCAGTTTACCTCAGGTGGATGTTATAAAGTTAAAATAAGTTACATATAAAGTGTTCAGCACATAGTAGATGCTCAACAAGTACCACTCCCCCCATGAAAAAGGGATTCATTAAAAAGAATAAATACTAGGAGTACTGGTATAGAGACCCCTATTTGTTAATTGTGGTAACATTCTCATAACATAAAGCTTACTATCTTCATTTTTAAATGTACTGTTCAGTAGTGTTAAATGAGTTCACATTTTTGTGCAGCCCATCTCTAGAGCTCTTTCTCTTGCAAACCTGAAACTACATACCCACTGAAGAACATCCCCATTCCCTCCCCACAGCTCCTGGCAGTCACCATTCTACTTTCTGCCTCTGTGATTTTAACCACTAGGTACCTTATATAAATGGAATCATACTGCATTTGTCCTTTTATGTCTGGCTTATTTCATTTAGCATGATGTCCTCAAGGCTCATCCATGTTGTAGCATGTTGCAAAATTTTCTTGTAATGCTGAATAATATTCCATTGCCATGTATATGCCACATTTTATTTATCTGCTCACTCATTGGTTGGGTTCCTTTCTACTTTTGACTATTGTGAGTAATGCTACTGTGAAGATAGGTGTACAAATCTCTCTTTGAATCTTTTGAGAATAATCCCAGAAGTAATAAGGTAATTCTATGTTTAATTTTTTAAGGAAACATCATACTGTTTTCTGAAGCCTATTTCTTGATGGGGAAGTATAAACAGTGTAGTTCCCTGGAGACTAATTTTAAAACCAGTTTTGTTTAACATTTTATGAACTATCTATATATGAGAGTTTCACTATTAAATCTCCTTTGCATAGAGATAATGAAATAGTTCATATTGTGTAAAATATAAGAACACCTCATGTGAGTGTAGACAGAAAAGTGGGTTAATAAGGCTTAATTAGTATAGGGAAACATATTTGTATTTGAATGTATGCTTTAGTATACTCCCTTGAGGTCAGAAGTTCTCTAGTTGCAGCTGTTAGTTTATTTACCCACTTACTGTGAAAAAAACGTGGAGAACTGATGGGCCAGTAAACTTCATAGGTCAGAAGTACACAGACACACATAATGTCTTTTTTCTTGACTCTCCCTAGCAAGACTCTCCACACTGTGGAGTATATTGGCCTCAGATCCTCCGTAGTCTAGTCTAGTCTAGACCAGTGTGGTCTCAACTGAAGACAGTTCTTGCCCCTGCAGACATTTGACCACACCTGGAGACATTTTTGTTGTCTCAGCTGAAGGGGTGCTCTGGAATCTAGTGGACAGAGACCAGGAGTGCTGCTAGACCTGCCACAGTGCACGGAGCGGCTCCCCCACTACAGGGAACTCTCCAGCCCCAAAGGGCAGGTTGAGAGACCTTGCCTTAGACCCAAACTACCTCCTCAGCTTTGTTCTCAGCCCCTCTCACGTGTAAACCTGACATTCTAGCCAGACCCAGGTGTGCCTCAGACCATACACCAGCTGAAATCTTCCTCCCTGCTTCTCTGGTGTCAGACCCAACTTCAGGTCTCTCACTGTCTCACTGAAGCTAGCTCTGGCCTCTCTGACCACCACTCTCTCCCCTCTTGGACTTGCTGTAGGACTGTCCCACTGATTTGGCACTTGGTTGACCATACAAGGTAGTCTCTTTCCAAGTTGACTAAAGTGCCTTGAAGGCCATGTTGACATAACTTGATGTGCAGTGTGACGTACCAACCCTTACATATCCCAGTAGGCACTTCTGACCTGACCCACGTGGGACTCCATGTACGCTTTCCTGCATGCATAGTGTAGAGTTGCTGAATCAGCACAGTACTCGGCCATCACCGCAGTCTGAGAACTATGAGCTGGGTGGAAGGCCCACATGGGAGCCCCGTGACCAGAGAGGTGTTCGTGCTGAACCTGGTTTCCTCGCTTAACTAGAACATATGAGGAGGGTGCCAGAGGATGGGCCTGTTATGACCTAGCTTATGAAGCCTGGAGGATAATGTATTTCACATGGAAATGTGTGTAGACAGGAATTGTTCTGTCATAGCTGGGCTAGTTGAATACCAGTCGGTATTTATGATGATCACACTCGTAATGAAAGCCATCATTGTTTATTTAGAGCCCAGTGTGTGCCAGGCACCAGTCAGGTGCTTTATACAGGTTATCTCATTCAGCCCTCATCACAGTCCTGGAAGGAAGCTGAAGCACTGGAAGGATCATCTGCCCAAGGTCACTCAGCTCACAAATAGCAGAGCTGAGATTTACACACAGTCTGACTTCATACAGCACCATCCTGCCTTGAGTGTAGCCTGGCCCTCCTGCCACTGGTCCTGGGGGAGGTCTGTATCTTGACACGCTTAAGTGGGGGGGAGTCCCCCATGGCCTCACCTGAGAGGTGGGTGATCCACGGGGCTGAGGCGCTCATTGTGCATCAGGTGCCAGTGTCGTGTCTGGACTCTCTGCTGCTGCAGGAGAGCCCACGGGGCTTCCTCTGGGGCCAAAGCCTCACGACTACAAGGGGCTCTGGCCCTTCTCACTTCTGCTTCCCCTACAGGTACACTACATCCTTCAGGAGGTGGTGATGGGTGGGATGGTCCTGGAAACAAACATGAATGAGATCGTGGCTCAGATTGAAGCCCAGAACAGGCTGGAGAAGTCCGAGGTGAGACACTGCTGGAATTTTGCCCTGACTGGGTAGAGCAGACCTGGGAAGAGGGGGGAATGGCTGCTGTGTGGAGTTGGGTTATTGTGGAACCTTAGGAGTGTTTTCTGCTCCATCCTCTTTTCCCCTGAGTCCATTGACGCTCATTGGTTTGAAAATTAAACAGGTGAGAATGAGGCTAAAAGTGTGAATGGAAAGCCAGGTGGCACAGGAAGGCAGACAGCTTCTGGCTTGGGGGAATATGTAGGTTGTAATTCCTCCTTTCATAACCACATGTTCCCTGGGGGACCCAGAATCACCTTCTCAGATTCCAGTGTGGTTTCCTAGCTTGTGTGTCTGAGAGTCTGTCCCCCAGCAGCCACTTCTCATGGTGTCTGTCAAACCTCAGAGTGGCCGGTTTCCAGTTAGCCTGATAAAAAGCTACAGTAGAGTTTTGGCTGAGTTTGAAAATAGCTTCCTCCCAGTCCACCCCCTCATAGTGCTGAGTCTGATACAGATGCTCCCAGTACGTTCTACCCTGTTCCCCTGAGGTCTCTCCATCACCTTCGTCAGCCTTAGCAGGGAGCAGAGGTTACCAGCACACACCTTCACAAACAGGAGAGCAAGCACAACAGATTACCTCTGTAGTTATCTGAGCATCTTAAAGAGCTTCACCGCTTTGTGTATCATCTTGCGAAACTAGGGATTCTTTCTGTGAGGACTGGCAGTCCTGCTGAAGAAGCTTTTCCAAACCGCAGCTATTGTGGCAACTAAAGTTCTCTTAGAAATGCAGGCTGGGAAGCTTCCAGGAATAGTAAGTGAGTCAGAGGCCAGGGGTTTGGAAACTAGAGGAAACGGAGACTTGCTGCGCAAGGGAGGGATTGGAGTCAGGATCCTGAAAGTGGTCGAGAAGGAGGAAGTGGTTTTGAGAATGTCCTTGCCAACTTCTCCCCTTCTCTGCATGCCTGGGCCGAGCTGGAGGGCTGGGGCTCACCGAAGGCACCTTTCCTCCCCACGCCGTTTCCCGCCCTTCCGTGTCTGTGTGTGCTCCAACCTCCCCTGCGGCCTTCCCCCCATCTTGTGGCCACATGACATTTCCAAAGGCAGCTCTTCTCCATCTCACATTATTAGTTGGCACGCAGTTGTCCTAAGCTGTGACATTCCTTTTTCCGTTAAGAATGTCCCTGTGACTGCACTCGTCTATTAAAAGAGTCTTCAGTTTCTTGAGGAAAGTGTTGTATTTTTGTTCTGTGACCTGAAAAGTGACCCTGATACTGAAGACAACTTGGTTAAACCATGCTGGTAATTTTGGCGGGCATCTGTTGAGCAGCCCCTGTGTGCCAGGCACTGTGGGCGCTGGGGCCAGGAAACTACACGAGACACAGCATATCATCCGGGGTGCAGAGTGTGGGCCCCTTTACTGCGGAACCCACTGACCTAAAGAGTGGTGTTGGCCACCTTTGAGGCATAAGGATGGAACAGTCAAAGCTTGTGTTACATGTACTCAGTTTGGACATTTTCCCTCTCTCTTTTCACTTGTTTTTGTTGTTGTTGTGAAAACATTAAGCAGATAACAGTGAGAGTTTATCACACAGCCACCTTCATATCTCTGCAGGGTGGCCTTTCAGCTGCACCCGCCCGAGCGGTGTCCGCTGTGAAGAACATCAACCTGCCAGAGATGCCCCGGAACATCAACATCGGCGATCTCAACATCAAGGTCCCCAACCTGTCCCAGTTTGTCTGAGAATGGAGGACAGCTGAACTGAGTCCTTGGAGCAGGCAGAGCCGAGCCAGCCCTGCAGCACAACCCGCTCTGCACCCTCAAGGAGTCCAGCCTCGGGCCCTGGCCCCTGCTGTCCTGGAACAGGAAAGAGTCCTGTGTCCACTGCCAGCCTGTGCTCCCTTCTCACACGTGTGGCCTTGCCCATCTCTCGGACACACAGCCACTGCGGGTGTGAGGGACCCTGGCTTCCTCAGTGGGGGTCAGGTGCCCAAGTCACATGCCCCCTTTCCCTCCCGTGTACAGCCACTCCAGGGGATTGGGGACTGTAGTGAGAGCCCCCTCCCCACCCCCGATCCCAGAACCCCACCACGAGGATGTGTGCTGACTCGAGGCTTCAACCTTGAGTTGAACGCTCCCTGAGATCCTGCAGCATTGACTATGATGGTGAGGTGCCATAGCTGGGAACGGATTGACCCTCTAGATCTGGGAACGTGGTGCATTGCAAACAAGGACAGGAGTTTAAGGTGATCCAGAGTGGCCTGCTGGCTCTCCTGGGGTTGGCACTTCCAGAATCCTTTGGCACAGTCCAGCCTTGTTACCCTCACCTACATTCTCCACAGCCACAGTCCCAGCTCTGCTTGCCCAGCTGTGTGTGTGTACAGGACACAGTCCAAATTGTAAGCCTGTTTGCTTGCCTGCCTGCACATTTCTGCCCATAGGGAGGGTACTCCCCACAGCCAGAGCAATCCCCGTCAAAGAGCTAGGGCCCCATGTCTGTGGAAGGCAAAGCTGACAACACGTGGAACATCTCAGAATTGTGACTGTTCCAGGTTTAAAATACACTCTCCTCCCGAGGAGCAGATGGATCAGTTGCCGTGTTCTGAATGATGGATGTTCTCTGTACAGGAAACCCACTTCAGTCTACACCAGCTAGTGGAGCATGAGCGCCTGGGCTGGGGCCCCCTGTTTTGGACCTAGGGACACAGGCAGCATGCTGGCTGAGACCTGGGACAGTGCAGCATCTTTTCCCCACGTTCACAGGGTCCCTCCCTGAGCTCGCTGTGGAAACCTGTAAATGTTTTCCATGTGGTGAGGGTCTTTGTTCCTGTGGTTATCTTAGAGCTGGAGCTGCTCCTGGGAGCAGTGCCTCTTAGCCCCGCACTGCCTCTGGGCCAGGGCTCAGGTGCGTTGTTGAGCTGCCTGAGGTTAGGGAGCTTGCTGTACCACGCTGTTAAGTCTCCCAGCCTGGGGACTTCTTGTGCCTTCTGGCTGGTGGCCCAGACTGTTTCCTCAGGCCTCCTGATGTCGCAAAGCCTGTCTGAGATGTGCCCAACGAGACCATGTGTCAGGTCACGTCTTCTCCTGCTTTGAACAGTGCTTCCTGTGGTGGGTGTCCTTTATTCCCTGTAGCCTCTTAACTTCAGTCTTTCGGAACCTCTCCGATAACCTCAGAGATGGGCAGTGTTGCTCAAAAGGTAGATGCTCTTATGTGGGAAGAGAGAAATGTAGGTAAATATATCTATCCAAGGTCAAAGCCTCTGATGTTCTTTTCAGTTCAGTTCAGTCGCTCAGTCGTGTCCGACTCTTTGTGACCCCATGAATCGCAGCACGCCAGGTCTCCCTGTCCATCACCAACTCCCGGAGTCTACTCAAACTCATGCCCATCGAGTCGGTGATGCCACCCAGCCATCTCATCCTCTGTCGTCCCCTTCTCCTCTTGCCCCCAATCCCTCCCAGCATCAGGGTCTTTTCCAATGAGTCAACTCTTCGCACGAGGTGGCCAAAGTATTGGAGTTTCAGCTTCAGCATCAGTCCTTCCAGTGAACACCCAGGACTGATCTCCTTTAGGATGGACTGTTTGGATCTCCTTGCAGTCCAAGGGACTCTCATAGTCTTCTCCAACACCATAGTTCAAAAGCATCAATTTCTTTTAAAAAGTTTTAAATGTTTTTTTAACAGACATTTCAGCCTATTCACATTCCTCTTTCATAATTTGCTTAAAGTGAAATAGGAACAAAGAAGGAAAGTGGTATTTATTTTATACTTTCTGTAAGATGGCATGAGCAAGATCCTTCTGCAATCCTTACAACAGACATTATTATCTCCCATTCTACAGGTCAAGAAAATAAGACTCAGAGAGGTCAAGTAACTTGCTTTAGGTCACAAAGGGCTAAGAGTTGAGACTGACTGCCTAAATCCACGGTTCATTTTTTTTTTTTCCGCTGCTCAAGATGGCTTCTCCCAATTTTATTTTCTTTCTTATGGATAAGGAAAGCTCAAAATTTTTAGATAGCTTCTCAGAAGCTGTAATTAAAAACAGCTTTGGTTTTCTAAAGTAGTCAGTGAGAGTATGAAAGAGTGTAAAAACTGGAAGGTCCTCCCCATGCCTGCAGTGAACCAATGAGGAAACCGAAGCCCAGGGTGTCATGTTGAGGGTCACAAAGCTAGAACCAAGTCTCCTCCTTTTTAAAATTTTTATTGGAGTATAGTTGATTTACAGTGTTGTGTTAGTTTCAGATGTACAGTAAAGTGAATCAGCTATGAGTATACTCACCAAGTTGTTTTTCTAGTTTGCTTTATGGCCCATTGCATTGCTATGGCACAGCCACATGTCCTGGATTTCCTGGGATACTCTGAATGTCTTGCCTGCCAGAAACCAGTGATTTCCCCCAAACCATTGACTGGCCTGGAGACTCCAGCAGTGGAAATTCCAGCCTCATCCCTTGCACTGCCTCTAAAAAATGACGTAGAACTTGATCTTGATCTGTGATTTGGAACACTTGATCCCTTTGGATGAGCCACAGTAATTGTTCATTAACTACTTAAGGTTGCCTGTAAATCAACCCTTCTGACCTGGTATCAACAAAGCCATAAACTTTAATAATAAGGAAATCCTCATTGGCCTTTTTTTGGAGAGGGACACATATTGCTGCTGAGAGACGTCAGTTGTGAAAAGAGGGGCTAGGTTTGAATTTGGGGGTCCTTGGCCCTGCGTGGCTCACACTGAGCATTTTCTAAAGTGGTACAGAACACTGGGTTTCCAGTGCTCACTGCCACTAACAAAACTCATATTCTTCAATCATTCAATTTCTAAGTGCCTGGTGAGTGCCAGGCCCAGTTCTAGGCCCTCAAAGATGGAGAGAAAAGAGGCTCTGCCCCCTGCAGCTGTCTGCTGAGTGTCTAGTGCTCAGGTTACATCTGACTGGCAGCCTGAATTTGTGGAGACTGGAGTGTTAACTTTGTGTTACGTGGAATATTTAACAGTAACTCATCTCCCAACCCCAGCTGACCCCACTGTGCCCTGCTGTCCATGCTCCAAACAGCCTGTCTTCAAGCTGCTATCTCAAAAATACCATAGACGAGGTAGCTTAAAGAATGCTGTCTCACAGTTCCACAGGCTGGTCACGGGCAGGGTGCCGGCAGATTTGGTGCCCAGTGTGGGCCAACTTCTCGTTTCGCAGAAGGCCATATCCTTGCTCTGTCCTCACATGCTGAAGAGAGAGCCCTGGGCTCCAGCCCTGTATAAAGGCACCATGCCCACCGTCAAGGCGCCCCCTCGTGATGTCACCCAAACCTAATCACCTCTCAAAGGCCCCATCTCCAGATATATTCACATAGGAAACTGTCAGCATATGAATCTAGGGGAGGACACAGTGAGATAGATGACATCACCAACTCGATGGACATGAATTTGAGCAAACTCCAGGAGATGAAGGACAGGGAAGCCTGGTGTGCTGCAGTCCATGGAGTCACAAAGAGTCAGACATGACTCAGCAACTGAACACCACCACCAAGCATTTGAGTCCGCGCACCGTACCTAATGATCCCTTGTTCTGCTAGGCCTGGTCATGGCCCTGTGCTTGTCACATTGAGGATTGTTAGGATATCTTGAATCTAATCAAGTCCTTGTTACTCAGGCCTATGCCACTTACAGAGCCACCCTTTCGTCCCCACCACCTCTACCTCCATGGAGCCAGCCCAGGGAGAGAAGAAAGCAGAGTTAGGCTAAAACTAGGCTGCTGGCTAAATCCTGTCTTGCGGACCAGTATTTCATAGGGAATGTCCTTAGTGTGGTCTGTGGGTTTCCAGATAGGATGCAGCAGTGATTGGTGACCTAAGATAAAGACGAGGAGACAGTGATGGCCAGGAGCGAGCCTCTGAAGGATGGGCAAGACCTTGGGAGGAGGTTGTTGGCCCCTAGCAAACATCCTGGCCTTCTGCTTCCCAAGTCTCCCGCCCTGCCACCAGAAGGGTGTCCATCTCACTGTGGTCACTGTGAGCCTGGTGCCACAGGCTAACGAACGGCTGACCTCGCGGTTAAGTTGATGCCGCCTGGGGAGCACTGTTGAGCCAAACTCCGACTCAGTTCCCCCAAACCACCGAGCACCTCCCACCCCAATAGCTGGTAGCGACAATTGTTTCCAATTTAACAGATTAGGAAACAAAAGCCCCTGGAGTTTTATTACCAAAACAGAGTGTGCATTCCTGAATTCTGTTCCCTTTGACCTTGGTGGTTGACCCCAGCCCTCCACTCAGCCATCCTCTGTAGGGAGGCAGGGCCCCCCAGACCACCCCATTTTCCATGGGACTCTGATGTCCTGTGTGTTAGTTGTTCATTGTCACCTCCCCTACTAGAATGTACGCCCCTCAAAGGTGGGCCCTTGTCTTTCCTGCTGAGTTCTGTGTCCCAGCTGCTATGAACTGTGCGTGGTATGTATCAGTAACTATGGAATAAGTGAGCGGTTGAGACCAGTGGTAAATCATTCTAGCACTCATTTGTAGCTTCTGCTTCTGGGGGCCCCATGCTCAGTCAGCTTTTTGGGTAATGGCATTGGGAACCGCTGGTAGAGAGGGGCCAGGAGCGAGAGGGAGAGGAGAAAGGGACAGCTGATGACAGTGGAGCCCAGGTGACCATTACCCGAGGGGAGGAGGAGGTTTGGGAGGGAGGAAGACCAGAGTCTGGAGGTGGGTGTGTGAAACTGGACTTCCCTGACAGTATCTGGGGCAGATGTCTGCCAGCCAGCTGGGAACCGGGGAGAGGGCAGAGAGGACATGAACATCCATCCCAGAGAGAGGGTGGTTGAAGCCTTGGGGACAAGTCATGTGGCCAGGGGAGGAGAGGAGAGGATTGAGGGTTCAGCCTGTGCCTAGAGGAAAAGAGGAGAGTCTAGATAGGAGCTGCTTCAAGTCAAGGGAGGACTCTCAGTGGGAAGGGCCCCTGTGAAAGGCCAAGGAGTGGAGGCTGAGAAGAGATGGCCTCTCTTGGTCCTGCTGTTGCCCCCACCAGGTTCCCTAAGGGAGGAAGTGAATGGGGAACTTGGAAGGGGTGGTTAGCCTAGTGGTGGGGTGGGTCTAGACCACGAGGTGGTCGTGTGAGAGTGTGGGTCACAATCCAGCTCTGTGATGTACAGAGCCTTCTTTGGAAGGTCAGCATCCTCATCCATAAAGGGGTGCCAGTGTTTGAGGGCTAACTGAAGACTGATGAAGACCACGGAAGAGTCCGTAAACACAGGCTGCTGTCACCACTGGGGCTTTTGCAGAGGCAATGGGAACCAAAGTAGATGCAGTTAGCTAGGAGAGGTTTGGTGGTGGTGGGATGCAGAGACCAAAGTCCATGGTGCTCGAGTCCTGGCAGAAGGCCTCAAAAGTGGGGCTGCAGATGGCTGCTGGGGACAGGACCTGCTGGCCTGTCGTCCCCCTGCCCCCGCGCCCTCACAATGCACCCCATGGACTGTAGCCCGCCAGGCTCCTCTGTCCATGGGATTCTCAGGGCAAGAATACAGGAGTGGGTTGCCTTTCCCTTCACCAGGGGATCTTCCCAACACAGGGATTGAACCCAGGTCTCCTGCACTGCAGGCAGATTCTTTACCGTCTGTGCCACCAGGGAAGCCTACATCTAGGGGCCACCACTGGATAAAGTAGGGGTAGGGGAAGCAGTGGAATCTGGAAAGTGAAGCTTCCCTTATAATGAGGGGTTTGAAGGCACCAGAGAATGAATGTGTGATTGGTGGGACCAGAAGTGCGGGGAACACAGCCTGGAACTCACACCCCCCAGAGTCAGGGCCATGGAGAGGCCCCGAAGGCACAGTGGCAGGAGTCGGCACTTGGCCAGGACTGGGATGAGGACCTCTGGCCACACGGGCCTGGCTGAGAGTTGGGGTCTTAGAGGGACTTCATGCTTCCTGGGAGACATGGGAGCTTTGGGCTTTCTTAGGAGCTAATCTGACTGTTTTTTTCAACACCGATATCAGCCTGGCCTCCTGAGAGCACCTGCCACCTAGGATCCGGCCACACCTCTGAGAGGGAAGGTTGAAGGTTATCTCCTGTATTGGTGATAACATGCCTTTAACAGACCGAGGGAATAAAGACACAACTGATGTAATCTGGAGAAGGAAATGGCAACCCACTCCAGTATTCTTGCCTGGAAAATCCCATGGATGGAGGAGCCTGGTAGGCTACAGTTCATGGGGGTCACAAAGTGTTGGATACGACTGAGCGACTTCACTGACATAATAGGAGGAGGAGGTACTGGTC